TTTTTTTGGACATGCAGGTTTCGACACAATGTTTTCCATCACCGCTGAACAAGTGGTAAATCTAACATAAAATTGCAATTAATAATTTTATTGTTGCCGGCGGGGATCGAACCTGGGTTGCTAGCGTACTGTGAAATTTACAGCGACCGCTTATTATACCACTCTCATGCCCTAAATATAAAATTTATTTGAATTTAGAATTACAAGTTGACAACAGCTAGAACTTTCACAAAACGGCAATTACACAGGTAAATACCCGTTATTAAAGTGTAGTTATTAAACATAAAAGGCGGCAGTTAATGTAGAAGTTAAACTCAGAAAGAAAGAAATTTAATCTTTTGTTCAAAACGCGCACAAGGCAACTACTTAAACTTAGTTGCTGAATGCTTCTTTGTTTCGTGTTCGCGGCAGGCGTCTATTAACTTTTGGATAATTGTGACTTTTGATAATTTGTGAATGTGTCCATACGGATACGCAATCCGTTACGTAGCAACCTTATGGATTCTGGGCATATAAAGAAGGTATTCCCCCCATTCGGTCGCCATAGCCTTGTAAGCTGGCTGGGCTTACAGTTGAATACAAAGTAAGCATTTAGAGAAAAATTCGTAAATACCTCTTTCCATCACATTTATCCACCAATAGATTTAACCAATTGTTAGTAATTCAACGTGTAATGGCAGCGTGGGAGAATACACTATCCTCCCATAGCCTTATATTATACCGTGGTAGGTAAGTTCTAACAGAGGGAAATAAAATAACCACAACTTGAGATATTAAGAAACTGTTGTTGCCAAACCACCTGCCAAGCGTGGCAACTACGCCACTACTACCAATCTTGGGGGAAGAGGGGGCTCCTACCAATCTCGGGGAAGGCCTTTGTTCGGTGACTTAGGCTGTAACAAACGAACGTTGAACGAGAAATATATTGCGGGCAACTGCAGTATATTTCTAACCTTATTTTTTATATTAAGATGATATCAGAAAGATGCTTACCCATACGGTTTAGTGGTACGGAACTTCCTTGCATCGCCAAAAAATGGCATACAGTGTAACCTTAGATGCAGGTGGCTAAGCACCGTATCGTGGTATTATTTTTGGGGTGGCCTATTTTCAGCAGTGTACTTACGAATAGCTGTAATGATGATGAAATTAGAATTGTAAATTTAATTATGAATTTAGTTAAATTAAATTCTATTATTAAATTTATTATTTTAAATAATATTAATGAAATTAAAATTTAATTATAGATACCCCTTTTATTGGAAACGCGGCATTCCATCTTGGTACTCGTGGGTGATTAATCCCACTTACCATCGGGTGGACTGTAAGCTCGTTTGTCAATCTTATTCTACATAAAAATAAGATATTAACAAATATGTTTGTTTAGCTGTTCCCGCGGATCGTTTGCGACAAGGATATCCCAATGGTTAGGAGTGAGCGGACCCTCATATATAATCGACACGGCGTGTTCAAGTTCCATGTACGCAATAGAACATGCCTACAGGGCAATAATCAGCGGCAACTGTGACACTGCCGTAGTGGCTGGAGCGAACCTTTGCTTGCATCCAATCGTGGCTCTGCAGTTTTCAAGGTATGTCAACTAAAAATAAATGCTTTTGTTATTTCTTAGCTCTTAAACAACTTCTTAGCCAATTTCTAAAAATGGAGTACAATTTCTCCTACTTTGAAAATAATTTATATATATATATATATATATATATATATATATATATATATATATATATATATATATATATATATATGTTACCGGCCAATCCTGATTTCAGACAAAAATAGTTTGTCCCAGGCCAAATCGGTTTATCCAACGCGTGTCAGACATACTAGTTTAGCCCAAGACAATCCAGTTTGGCCTAAATACTTAAGGCTTAATTATTTTAGACTGTTAATAATTTTTTAAACCCTCATATTCTCAAAGAGTGGTGTATTTTAGTAATTGGTCTTAATTGTTTTAGTTTGTCTTAAATTCTTACTCATTCTTAAATTGTGTTAGGGATCTTACACTTTTGGGTCGGCCATAGACGTCCAATACTTGATATTAATTGAGCTTTTAGTTTGGGTGGCTGGTGAAGGTTGACCTTTTATACTGTTTTTTAATAAGATCGGTTGAATCTGCTCTAAAACCAGAGCACGCCCAGACTCTACATAGTCTTGTCTGCCCTACCCCTAGATTGTTTTTGTAGAGCCGTACGCGCGGAGGGAGAGTAGCCCTCGTCTGCCGTAGCAAATCGCAGGCACCTGTGCGAGCCGCAGCGGCTGAGGCTGGTCGCCAAAGACGATCAAGAAGCCATAGCTACAGAGGTGAGCACGGGTGCCTGCGATTTACTACGCAAGAACGAAGGGGCTGCACTTCCCGCAGCGCCGAAGCTGTTGTAGAAGTAAATTTTGGTCAATATCAGGTTAGGCTAGATTAGATTAGATTATGCAATGATTCAATCAATTTTGCCAAGGCCAAACTAGTTAAACCTAAAGTATTTAGGCCAAACTCGATTGCCCTGGGCTACACTAGTATGTCCTGACACGTATCGTATAAACCGGTTTGACCTAGGACAAACTAGTTTGGCCTGAAATCGAGTTTGGCCGCTGGCATATATACTTGGAGTAAAGGAAGAGTATTTTGCAAATAAAAAGAGAGCTCCTTCTATTTTGTAAAAAGGTAGATAACTCTTCTTCTTTGTACAAATGTTACGTAATATCTTCGTAATATGTAATAATAAATTCCGAAACAATTGTAATAAGTAACTCTTATTAAAATTGTAAGTATCTTTCTTCTTCTTCGTGGTAGAACAACGCTGCAGCTATATTATAGTTTTAGAATGAATGGTTTGGCTCGACCAGGGCAGGACCACTCTTTCACAGAATATCAGCGTAAAATAGCAGTTCAATGCTACTGTGTTTCGTATGGTGAGTATAGAGAACCGGAGACCCTTTTTACCGGAAACGAGGAATTCCATCTTAATCCTCAGGGGTGACAACGCATTTGCATTTTGATTCTTAATTGAGGATAAATGTGGATGTCTGTGGGCCACAGCATCCACTTACCATCAGGCGGACTGTGTTCTTTCAAAATATTTCAAAAAATATCTCACTTCTTAGGGTGAGAAAATAGAGGATAAAGTTATTAATGTATCTATTTATACGTCCCATGTTGGCCAATGCTGGTCTAGAACTTACGTCCCGTGTTTGTATGGGACATATATCAGAAAAGAATGCGCCAACTTTCTTATTTGACTGGCAAATCGTAAAAAACCACTAATCGGATAATAGATTTGTAATTGTGTAGACGAAAGCTCATCTATCACTTTTTGCACAATTTTCCATTTAGATCTGCATGTTACGATTAAACATAGTCTAAGTAGCTGCTCTTTGAACTCTATCTTGCCTACCGCTCGGTAATCACAATCGTGGCGCTTATGTATGATGATATTAATACGTCATTCTTAAACGTAGACAGAGAAACCTATTCTTAAACTTGTTATAATCCTTTGTCCACTCTTGTGTGTTGTTAAACCCGGAGTACCCTCAGCTTTTTTAATTATTGCTTATGGTTCGATTTATGCAAAATAATTAAATAAGCTGAAGGTACTCCGGGTTTTTTATCCGGGTCATTTCAGTCCCCCGTGACGATGGGTGCTGGAAAGCACCAGAAACGTCGGGAATTAAAAGTAATTAAAATTAAACGCGATAAAATCCGTAAAAGTAGTTTTAATCAATGTGTAGTGTTTGCGTAAATATAAGAAATCATTATGTAAATTGTGATAGTTCCTAGTATTTACAAAGTGTACGCTACTATTTTTGTTTTCGTGTACGTGCATAATTTTTTCGTAAATATACTGTGAAACCAAAGTAATATATTTTTTTAACTATTTCTCATAGAGACTCCATCTGATTTAGGTTATACATTGTTCTTATCTGTAAAACTAATATTGTAATGTAGCTTTCTCCTGTAAAACTAATATTGTACTGTACTTTAATCCCTGAGCAAAACCCCAAAGAGTAGCAAGCTACCCTAACCAGGTTAAGCCATAAATATGGAATTAGGTAGAAAATTGTTAAAGAAGTGATAGGAGGCTATCCCTACTATACCTATATATACCTACTACACCGTTACAAACTCAAAATCTCATTAGTTGCTTTGTGATGATTGCTAGGTAAGTATCACAGTAGCACAATCTTTTTTATCATAAGTCACCCATAAACAAATAAACCTATAAATCCCTGAGCAACTTTCTGTATGGGTTAGAGCCACACTGTTGCTATATTATGGCTGTAGTACACATTGGTCAGCTCAAGAAAATGAAATAGCAGCTAAATGTTGTATTTTATATAGTGAGTGTAGAGAAACGGAGACCCTTGTTATGGGAATTGATTTGTTTTTGCTTTACCCTCAGGGTTGACAAAGCATCTGCATTTTGATTCTTAATCGACAATAGATGTAGATGTCTATGGGCCACAACATTCACTTAACATCAGGTGCACTGTGTAATCGTTTGCCACTACCATTCTATAAAAAATGGGACGAGCGACAATAGGTTTTTTATTGTTACAGTCTAGGTGTACTGTCTCCAGATGGTCGATGTAAAAGTTTTGATGACAGAGCAAATGGTTACGCTCGCTCCGAGGCGGTTGTTGTATGCATCCTTCAAAAAGCTAAAAACGCAAGGAGGTGGGTTATTAGAATAATTTTATCTTAAATATAATTTATGATAAATTATAGTATAGAAACGGCCTTTAAGGACCAAATTAATGAATAATATAATTCAGTAAGCCATCGTTAATTCAACTAATTTATTCATCATACGATCTGCATGCTGCTAAATGTTTGCGATGTGGCTTAGCAACGAGTTGCTAAGCTATTTTTTTACTTAACTTACAGTTAATATAAAGTTACTGACATAGGATCAGTAGTCTGAAATGCAATGGATTGGCCATTCATTTGAAATAAATGACTCATAATGGGGGAGAAAGGGCGTGCAGCCGTACCTGCCAAGTACAGTGTTAAGCGAAACCTCAGTAGATGATGGTGCAGAAACATTCGGGGAATCGAATTCAGGATCATTCCAATTTATAAGTTAACGATAACGAAAGTAAAGACCCTATGCATTGTAAAGGAGGATCTTGCTAGAGGAGGCACCTCATGTTTCTAAGCTTCACTAAAAAAATATTTACTCCAGAGTATAAATATTTCTGAGACGTGTTGGTCCTTGGTCCTTGAGAGGATCTAAAACTAAGCACAGTTAAGCACATAATTAATCAGGTTAAAATTGCAGATAGCAATATAAGTACAAGTAATATTGTCAACATAGATCAAATACGAGTTTATTATAAATTTTATTGAACATATTATTTTCAGAGTTTATGCCAAATTGGTTCATGCGAAGACTAATTGTGATGGTTACAAAGAGCAAGGCATAACGTACCCCGCAGGTCATATTCAGAAGGTTCTCCTTGAGAAATTTTATGAGGAAGTTGGGATTAGCCCTTCTACATTAGAATACCTTGAAGCGCATGGCACAGGTAAAACAATTATCCATGTTTTTTATCATCAATCACCAGTAATTATGAACGACGGATGAGGCCTGCCCAAAAACCGCACGGCTGAGTGAGGCGCCTACCCAGCGTAGATTTCCCAAAGAAAGGGATTTGTCGTAATCTTGACGTTATCGTTATAGCCTAATCAAAAGTCCACTGCGGAACAAAGGCCTCCCTCTTAGATGGATTGAGGACTATTTATTATTTATTTATTTATTTAGGTACACAAAACAGAATAACACCAAAACATGAACAATTGAAAATAATAAATACAAAGTTACAATCTGGATGGTATTCCAAAACATGTGCACACAACATGATATTAAGTAACAGTAACAATTTTACAGCACAAATAATTATAACCTTATTTATAAACATACTATAATTATGAACTTATGTTGTGGAAAATTTTGAAAAATTAAATCTTTATTAAAATAATATTCATTTACCTTTACATTTAAATTTAAATTTTAAGCCTTAAATGCCTTATTTATAAAGTATATCTAATACGGATTTTTTGAAATTGTTTAATTTGTTATTAAAAATAACTATATTTTTACTAGATTTAATTTTTTTTGCGCCCGAAGCAATTTTTTTTTATATATAGAATAGGCTGACAAACGAGCACACAGTCCACCTGATGGTAAGTGGTTGCTGCGGCCCATACACATCTACATCTATCTTCCATTACAAATCAAAATGCAGATGCGTTGTCACCCGTGAGGACTGAGATGGAATGCCTCATTTCCAGTAAAAAGGGTCTCCGGTTCTCTACACTCACCATACGAAATACAGCAGCATTAAGCTACTATTTCACGCTGGTATTTTGTGAGAGCGTGGTCCTTCCCCGGTCGAGCCGACCCAATCGTGCTACAACTATACTACTAATATAACTGCAGCATGGCTCTACTGACGCAGAAATATGGGCAACCCTCCGGAAAGCGGGGGGAGGGAGGCGGTGAATGCTCATAGCATACCACGCAGCCGGTTGCGTGGTTATGTGGAGACTTTTACCCACTAAACACCGCCTTTATGGATTGGCTTACCGATCTGACGAGAGATCTCTAAGCCGTATACGAACGCGACCCTCCTTGGCAGAAAGAAGGGCGCAATTATTTAATCAACAAGTCGTTATATAGGCGACACATTCATACAAGAGGATTGTAATAAGATGTATTATACACTTGCAAAGCGAAATTATTTAGGAAAGTATAGTATTACTTTATTTAATTAGAGAAGAGTCTATAGAGATGATAATGCATATGGAAACAGATGACATATTGTTTCTCATATCTTTGATTAACTCATGAATATTTCATATATTAATCAACAGGAACCTCAGTCGGAGATCTTGAAGAGCTTAAAGCTATCGATGCCGTATTCTCTCCAGGACGTCCAGATCCACTTTTGATTGGATCTGTTAAGTCTAATATGGGCCACAGTGAAGCAGGTGCAGGAGTGTGTGCTCTTGCTAAGGTAAAAACATTTTAGTGCATTTTCGCTGATGTATACGGTAATACTTTGTGTATCAAGGCTTCAGCAGTAAAAGTCGCCACCGGCAGCTAATGAATTAAGTGAAAAAATTTCCAAAATCTGTTCAAAATACTTTTGATGTAGTATCGGGGTGTTGCAATATTTTTTGTTAGGCAGATTTAACAATACCTTTAAAATATTAGTATGTCAGTCGTTCTGCCCAATGATCTGATAACTTATCATGTATTAGTGAAAAGTTTACTGACTTTTGTAATAACTTAATTTAAAAATTAATTATGTATTTTTATAACTGTATGTTTCCTTAAATAAATAAAAAACAACTTTAGGACATGAAGAACTAGTTTTAAAAGTTTTGTCTGTTTTTCTGTCTATTCGGATAATAGAAGTTATTTTCATTTTATATTAATGTTTAAACCATAGAATACTATAATACACAATAGAATAGTTGTCAACCTTATTTTGTAGGATTGGCGTCGCCGGAAGCACGCATAAAAGCAATTACGTCGTATTATCATTTAATCACTACTACAAACCCGATTCGCTGTGTTGACAGACGGATTTTAATACATATTTATTTGTAAATAGCGTACAATTTTACATTTTCTAAATAATTTGCATGCGAAATTTGGAAAACGATTGTAACGTCAAAACACATGTCGTGTTGACATTTATACGTGTGAATTGACGTCTTGTGGCATTTTAGTGGCTACACGGGCTCCGCCCACACCCCCGTTCTTTTATGTATGTATTATAGTATTCTATGGTTTAAACCATCTAGTAGCGGTATAATAATAGCCACTGTGGTTCCCTGGGGGCCGAGATGGGTAGCAGCACCTTCTTGATAACAATTTAAAATAATAAGGAACTGCGGTGGCGAACCCGCCTGCTAAGCGTGGCAACTAGGACAAAATCCCGCCTTTTAGGTAGCCTATGGGGAAGGCCTATGGTCAGCAAGAGACTTTTGTAGGCTGCTATGAATAGATATTAATGTTATCTTTTTGTTTTAATAGCTTTGCATCGCTTACCATTCTGGATATATTCCTCCTAATATAAACTATTTGAAGCCAAGAGAAGTTACTGGTCTAACAGAAGGGCGTTTGCAAGTGGTCACGGAGAAACGTCCTTGGAGTCGTGGAAAAGCAGCTGCCAGTAGTTTTGGGTTCGGGGGAGCCAATGCTCACATATTACTGGAGAAATACGCTACAAGCAAGGTTTGTCATATAGCCCGATCAATTGAAAATATGTAAAAACCTACATAAACTGATTTCATTGTATTCATTATTGATTTCATTCAGTGTTTATTATTTTTAATAAAGCTAAGGGCAACAAGTAAACATACACTCCACAGTCCAATTAATGTAATTGGATGCTGTAACCCATGGAAAACTACAGCTGTCATCGATCGTGATCGAATGCGGATTCACACTGAAGACCAATAGGAATGCCTGGTTTTCAGTAAAAAGGGACTCTTTTAATACGTAATGATACCTATTAGTAGACTACTTTTACGGATTTTATTATATTTGATTTTCTATTATTTTAACTTATTTATAATTTTCAACGTTTAGGGGCCATAGGGAATAGGCACAGGTATTATATATATTATGCATCTTATTTAAAGACCTTCCATCGCACTTAACTCGGGCGAACTTCACTTTTTGATCATTAATTTTGGTTCTATCTACGCAGAATGAGTTTAAAATGCCTTAAAGTCTGACAGCATTATGATTTATTTGAATTTTGTTTTTTTTTTTTTTTTTTATGGAAAAGGAGGTAAACGAGCATACGGTTCAGCTGATGGTTGAAATCGCCATCGCCCATGAACATCTGCAACACTAGAGGACTAGCAACTACGATACCAGCCTTTTAGAAAAGAGAATGCTCTTTTATTGAACATCATTATCGGACCCTATGCAGATATTAGCATTCAGGCATCATTTCTACTGAAATGAGGATGTTTTTAATTTTTTTTTTGAAATGATTGATCCTTGGAAGGAATTGGTTTTCTAATGCGAGGACTTATGGTTTATTCAATCTAATGTTATTTCTAGTTCTCATTAACCACACGACCCACAGCATTTTCATCATTAAGTTGCTATTTTAGGCTGATATTCTTTGAGAGCGAGGTATTTCCTTAATTAAGCTGACCCATTCTTGCTACAATTATAGTACACATTCCACCACGTGAAAATATTATTCTTATTATTAATATTATTTTTCTGAATTTGTGTTCATCACTAAACTGCTTCAAACTCGACCAATACTGTAAAAATTTTTTGCGTGTGTTTGAGTGAGCCCTGGTTGATTCAAAATTGAGCCTGGTAGGTGGCGCTTTTGTCGATATCTAGAAATCATCCTTGTGAAGCGAGAGCGGTTCGCTAATTCTGTATAACGATCTTTTTAATACATAAGTTAATAATATTTGATTATTATATTGCACGTCCAACCCGTCAATATTTCTTCCCTTTTATTGTATTTCTTTTTAAATTGTTTGCAAGAAATTTCTACGTAGCAAAAAGACTGCTCTTTGTATATTTTTTACACATTTGTTACGTTAATATTACCTTGGTAAGCAATAAAGATTAACCTGATTAAATCATCCATTTTTTTTAGATCAACAATGGATTACCGACTGATGATTTGCCACGTTTAGTAGGTGTATCCGGCCGCACACAGTCAGCTGTAGATAAAATTTTTAATGATCTCGAATGCAAACCAGTTGACGCAGAAGAAGTGCGCTTATGGCATGCAATCTATGCTAATGAAATAAGCAAGCATAACTACAGAGGATATATTCTTCTAGGTATGAGTTACACTGTGTTTAAATAGTTGAAAAATTCTAGAAATGTATATTTGGACTTCCATCACTGCATTTAAAAAAATAAGGGTGACAAACGAGCACACAGTCCACAAGATGGTAAATGACTGCTGTGGCCCATGGACATCTAATCGTACATTTCTCTTCGATTAAGAAATATTATGCAGATGTGTTGTCATCCCTGAAGACTAGATGGTGCCTTTAGATACGGAAAATTTCGTCAGTCAAATAGTATTAAATAGTTGAATAGTGGTACTAATGTGATGCAGACCTAATTTCGGTCACAGTGGCTAGCGTCCACAGAGACTGGGATTGGAGACGAGATTACAGTACATAAAAGTGTATGAGCAGGAACAAGTACACCCTCGTATTCATAATCAAATGAGGAATACTAACCCTATGTCAAATGATGAGCAGTCGTGTTCACATTCACTAGATCTATCTACACCTTTAACCTTGTCAATGGATAGTGGTAAAAATGTAGGTGTATATACTTTGTCATCATCATCAACATATGCGAACATCGTAACCTTATTTTTAAATTTATCATAAATATATGTTCGTATGTAAGTATGCTTAAAACGTATGTATTATGTACTATTTAAACATTATGTATGTAATGTATCAGGTATTGAGTATATTCATCATCATCATCATCATTACAGCCCTTCACAAGTCCACTGCTGAACATAGGCCTCCCCCAAGTAATGCAACAAAGCACGGTCCTGAGCCACCTTGAGTATATTACTTAGGTTAATTGTAGTTATGTATATTTATTTTTGTATTTACACTTATGGTATATCTATTTTTATATTTACATTCACGTATAAATTATCCTCATATTTTATGGCACCTGCTAAAGTTCTCTGCTTAGCTCGTGGTTGATTGGTAGAGAATGCCTAGAGGCATTAAGTCCGCCAATTGTACATTTTAAGTACATTAAAGTTTTTAAATAAATTAAATAAATAAATCATCCACATACTATTTATAATAAAACTCAAATTGTAATGTAAGTTTTAGCGCGCTACAATCAACATCATCTTCATTTTTAAATTAGTGTTTGTGAAAAGAAACCAGACAAACGTTAAACTAAGAAACAGAAGGGGGAATCGAGGCTTCTCTCGATCCGGCCTCCTACAACGCCTACGTTGGGTTCGGGAACAACGTATGTGATCTCCGCAACGGAGTAACACACAAGGGCGATAACCTCTTCCTTTTCAGAAAATAGGTTCAGGTGGGGATTACGGGTCTTCCGAAGTCGTCCCGGTCCCAACGCCTTAAATCTTCGATATGGACTGTATCACTTTAAGGGGAGAATTCCTTGGGAATAAAACAGCAATTATCTTCAAACCGTTCCGTGAGAGAGTAATTACTTTTCCCTATCACTTCCCTATACTTTTTCTTTCTTCTTCTTATTGACTGCTGGTCTTGCACTTTTCCCGAACGATTTGCATGAAAAATCAATTTACTGAACTACCTCGAAGCTAAACGCGAAAGTGAGCCGCGCCATTTGTGCGCTTGCGCAACTCAATTACATAAATTTGTACTATCAATCTCTCACGGTTTGCTCAATAACTTTATTTGTATAAGACATACATTTATACAAATTATTTATAAAGATAGCACAAAAAATATCTATACTACGATATACATTACATTTTCATATCACAAAAAACCCTTTAGTTATTTAACAAAATATGCTTATTTTACTCACATGTTCAAAGTTGGAATTTCTTAAATATTTAACATAGAAAGTTAAAACAATGTTTTCCACTTGAAATTATACATATCTTAACTAATACAATAGTTTAATTTACATTTTCTCTATACATTTCACTATTAAAACACTTTTAAATTTCTTATACAAAAATATCATTATTTCACTTATTCACAGGAATTTTCACATAAAATAACACAGAATTCGCCTCCTTTACACGTACAATCAATCTGAAATGTTTTACAAGTCATTTTACATAAATTGCTGAAATTTGCAAATATTTAAATTTCTACATATTTGGCCTCCTAAGTACGTGGCTAGCGTGCGTCTATGAACTCACACTATTTGAACAACTAACTTTTGCACGGCTATCGACTATCAGTAAAAATGGAAAGTTTAGTATACACTAATATCAACAATACTAGTTAAATAAATGATTCTACACAATTCTCAAACGCCGAAAACTATTTCTAATCAGCTTCTTATCAGTTATCATGTTTCTTATCAAACAATATAAGTGAATGTTTTCATAAATCAATCATAGAAAATAGGCATTTGTTTTCATACAAAACATATCAAACTCATATAAGACAATATTTATGCAATTAATTTCCATTAATTCTACTTATGCACAGCGATCATCTCGACCGGGGAACAAATCCTGGTCTCTAACTTTATTTTAATATTTCGTTAAATTAACATTATTGGAAAGATGATTTCAACCGGGGAACAAATCCGGTAACATAATTTATATCTTAAAAATTCCCTATATGAATTTATTAAGAGATATTACTAAGAAAACGATAAACTATTCCGGCCTGGGAGTCGAACCGAGTTCGTAATCGGTTAACTAATAAATTGAAATATTCTTATAGGCGTGTCGCCAACAGTTTGATATATTAAAAGTAAATTGTTGTTACTTATCATACCTTTTCCACCAAGTTTGTAACTTTCACCTATGTTTTATAAATAAATTATTTGATTTGATTTGATTTGAAAAATTTGCTGGGGAGGGGGGAGGGTGGGGTGGTTTCCCTTAATCGCCAGGTTTGGTTATCATGGTATCAGAAGTCTTACACCTTTGACGCTGCTTCCCGTCACTGCGTAAACGAGATGGGTATACGAGCATCTATCGGAAGCCGTGTGATCTTTTTAAAAATTTCCTATAGTTACTTACCATATTTACGTAGATGAAATGGGTCGATGTATACTCGTACATCGTCACTAAACAGTTAAAGTCTTAGCAACGAGTTGCAATGCAAGCTACGGCTTCGAATCCCGTACGGAACATGTATTTTTGGGGCCTACAAATAATTGTTCTGGGTCTGGAGATTTGTCTCTCAGTATGTAAACTGCTTCCACTGCCGATCACATTGAATCTGCGTTAAGAATTTCGACCTAAAGACTTACCTTTTTTTATAACATAATATGAGAAGAAGCAAAAAGGTTATGTGTTTCATTGTGTGTAACAATGTCAAAATTGATATAATTAATTATTTTATTTTACTAGGTACTACACCCACAAAAAGCATCCAATTAGCTCGACACGTTCAGTATTCATTGTCCGAAATTCGCAAGCCGGTTTGGTTCGTGTATTCCGGTTTGGGTACGCAATGGCCAGCGATGGGCAAAGATTTGTTGAGGATATCTACATTTGCAAACGCTATTGATAAGTAAGTATGAATATCCTACAATTAAAAGCTTTCAATGTTTATTTGTCAATACTAACGTAAAATATGTTAAAAACTCCCCGTCCGATTCGAAACGGTCACAAAGGTATCGCAACGATATTATGAAAAAGTTGTTCACATTATACTCACATTACGTACTCATATTATTAACGAGTATAAAATGTTAATGCTATTTATAATACATACGTTTTATTGATTTTTCAATTTGCCTGAAAATCAGCAACTTTTGAAAATCTGGCAACACTCGTCGAAGATGATGGTTTCCGAAGTAATTGCGTTTAAAAAAATATGTGTAATGTGTAAAGCCTGGGGTTATAGAGGTCAAAATTTTGACGACGGTTGCCCGCCCCTCATGTACCCACTGCCATGTCAATCTCCCCATTTAATTAAATTCAATTAAATTTTTTGCGGGTTATTATTTTATTTTAATATATAATAGAGCCATGCTGCTGCTGTATTATGGTTGTAGCATGAAACGTGGAAGGTAAAAAGTCTTAGAAAATACCAGCGTGAAAGCTGCTCACTTGATTATGTTGTGTTTCATATAAAATATTTTTTTTATAGAATTGGGGTGACGAACGTGCACACAGTCCACTTGATGGTAAGTGGATGCTGTGGCCCATAGACATCCACATTTATCCTCGATTAAGAATCAGAACGCAGGTGCGTTGTCACCCCTGAGTACTAAGACGGAACCTCGTAATCAGTAAAAAAAAGTCTCCGGATCTCTACACTCACCATACGAAACACAGCAGTACTAAGCAGACCCATTCGTGCTACAACTATAATATACCAGCAGCGTGGCTCTACCACGTATAATGAAAAGAATAGAATAGAATAAAATAGAATTATTTTTATTCAATATTGATTATATGTAATACTTATTGAAAGTCATTTTTACTTTTACCGCTGGTTCGGAAAAAATCTCTGTCCTGGGCATTGAAGCAATATGTACTGTACGTACTAGAACAGCTATTACAAACAAAAAATGTACGCTACTCTGTGTTCGCGCGGTTGGTTTCTTATCATAGAATAAACATAGATAGAATGATCCGTAGGTAATAGTTGATTGTATTGTTAAATAGGTAAATTATATCGATAACAATATTTAAAATTTGTAATTTATTTTGTATATTATATTTGCGTATTAAATATAATATTACATAATATTATATCACAATTACATTTTAATGATATTTTTATCTGAATAATTTAAAAGGTCATCTCTATGTGAAATATAAAAAACATACTGTTGCGCACCTGAGTTGACGTCATGTACCCGGCACTAGCGCCATCTAGTGTCGGAACGGAGAACTAAGCTTCTAGAAGCCGACACTCGAACTTTCGATGCCTTATATGTATTTACTTGAATGTTCTGGATGTTTCGGTGCTAATGTGTATTTATAGGCGCTGCAAGGTGCGATCGGGGGAAGATTGAATTTGGCGAGACAAGTGAAGCTTCGGAGCGAAATAAAGTGAATCATGTGATTAATTATTAGTGTTCTAAGTTTTAATTAGTGTAAAGTGAATTAAAGAGTTAATTTTGGTAATTCCATCGGCAATTTTTAATGTCACGAACCCTAAGCTCATAACAATTGGTGTCAGAAGTGGGACCAAATCATGCCGATTTTACCGAAGGAGGAATTGGAAGTTGTTCGTACCCGAAGTCAACGCCAGCAGGAGAAGGACCAGAGAAGGTGTGGTGGTGCAATGCCGCAGACATCGGAGGGCCAACTGCCAGCCACGGAGGCTACGGGCCCGCCAGTAGCTCCTACACCTGCAGCACCTGACTTAGGTGCTCTGATGGCGATGCTACAGGAGCAACTGCAGCGCGGACGTGAGGAACAGGCCAGTCTGTTGAAATAGCAGCAGGAGGAACGGGCTCGCCGACAGGAGGAACAGGCTCACCGACAGGAGGAACAGGCTCGCCGACAGGAGGAACAGGTCCGTCGGTTGGAAGAGCAACTGCGGGGTGGACAGGATGAACAGGCCCGCCGACAATAGGAACAGGCTCGTCGGTTGTAAGAGCAGATGCTCCTCATGAAGGACCTTCACGCTACCTTCGGGAAGGAGATAAAGGAGGTGAAGGATAGGGTTGCTCAGCATGACAACCGCCTGTCAGAAGCTGAAACCCAAATTGCTAAAGCTGAAAGCCGAATCGAGAAAGCTGAAACCCGAATCAAGCAAGTGAACAATTGGGTTGACAACGTGATGGCTGACGTGAAGAAAACGCTGGACGACCTCAAACTTGGGGATGGAACAACAGCTCCTGTAGTAGCTGCAACACGTTCGCTACGTGAATTCAAAGTGTCGCCGTTCGACGGGACTTCTTCCTGGTCGGCCTACAAAATCCAGTTCGAGGCCGTCATGGAGGCGAACGGCTGGAATAAAAGCCAAGCCATGATTGCACTCATCCTAGGCTTGCGCGACCAAGCCTGAATTGCGTTGGAAGCTCTCGGTAAGAAAGTGACCTACGAGCAGCTTCTTGAGGCGTTGGAGGCGGGATATGGCGACGCTCAGCTGGAACACGTCTTTCGTGCGCAGCTTAAAGATCGCGTGCAGCGCATCAATGAAAACCTGCAGCAGTGGACTCTAGAGGTGGAGAAGCTGGTGCCAAAAGCATACCGGCCTGTCCTGCGCTCATTGAAGGGAAATTTGTGCAGACATTCATCGACGGTATCCGCGAACTTGAAGTCAGAGCTGCTGTGAGGATCGGGCACCACGAGACGCTTAATGACGCCTTGGCCCATGCACTGGAGGTTGAAGCCGTGCGGCAGGATCTTCGTTCGCATCGCGTCAGGGAGGTTGCAGCAGCTACAGTTTGCGACCGCAACAAAGGATTCAGCGCTAGGTGCTATGGTTGTGGGGGAAGAGGCCATCTTAGATCCAGCTGCCCTAAGCGAACTGTAAAAAAGGAAGTTGATCGATCTCGAGAGGGTAGTGCAGCTAAGGGCACCACCTGACGGCGGCAGGATCATCGCTCCCCTCACGCTAGGGAGGTTGCAGCAGGTGCGGTTCGTGACCACAATAAAGGACACAGCCCTAGGTGCTATGGCTGTGGGGAAAAGGGGCCATCTTCGATCCAGCTGCCCTAAGCGAACCCTAGAAAGGGAAGGTGAACGATCTCAGAAGGGAAGTGCGGCTAACATCACCATCCAGCAGCAGCCGGGATACGACTTTACTATCAGACATCGCAGCGGGAAATCTCATGGCAACGCAGATGTATTGTCAAGAAGACCTTATCCTGAAGATTGGAAACATTGTACTAGGCAAGAAATTAAGGAAGTGGTATCCGTGAGGATTCTCAGGACGGACCACCTCAGCAACGAGTGGAAGGACAGCCTACGACATGCACAGCAGGAAGATCCGGATATCAAGCCGATTCTGGAATGGATGAAGGCCCGTGCTACCAAGCCTAAGTGGAGCGACGTCTCAGCGATGGGTTCAACCACGAAAAGCTATTGGGCCCAATGGGATAGCTTGCTGGTTCAGGATGGAGTCCTGTGCCGTAAATGGAACAATGGTCGAGGGGACAGCTGTCGTTTGCAAATGATTGTCCTTAAAGCTAAAGTGCCGAATGTTCTACAGCTGTGCCATAATGGTCGCTCAAGAGTCCATCTGGGAGTTAAACGAACTCTACTGAAGGTCCGAGAGCAGTTTTACTGGGTCCATTATCGTGACGATGTCGAGGATTGGTGTCGTACATGTACAAGTTGTGTGGCTGTGAGGGGACCTCGGACACGTAGTAGAGGAGCATCGAAATTGTACAATGTTGGTGCACCATGGGATAGGACAGCCCTTGACATTGCGGAGCCGATACAGAAAGGCGCAAGAGGGACTCCTAAGATCGTCCATGTGGATCGCTTGGCGTGTTATTATGGGGCCGATAATGCTCGGGACGAGCATGTCTTAGGATGGGGCAGTGTTGCGCGCCTGAGTTGACGTCATGTACCCGGCACTAGCGCCATCTAGTATCAGCAACGAGAGCGAGGGGAGCTTTCCAGAAAATGACATCACTAATCTTTCAACCGACAGCGCCATCTAGTGTCGGAACGAAGAACTAAGCTTCTAGAAGTCGACACTTGAACTTTCGACGCCTTGCGCGTATTTACTTGAATGTTCTGGATGTTTCGGTGCTAATGTGTATTTATAGGCGCTGCAAGGTGCGATCGGGGAAGATTGAATTTGGCGAGACAAGCGAAGCTTCGGAGCGAAATAAAGTGAATCAGTGTGCTTAATTATTAGTGTTCTAAGTTTTAATTAGTGTAAAGTGAATTAAAGAGTTAATTTTGGTAATTCTATCGGCAATTTTTATTGTCACCAACCCTAAGCTCGTAACAATACTAAATGTATGTTTAACAAAACTTATTAACATAACATTTAAATTACAAATATATTTATTTGAATTAGAATAAGAGTCGTTCATAAATGTTGGGCACGCGAGAGTTAAAAATGGATGAATTTATTCCACTTTAACTTTGATGTGGAAACCTAAAAATAAAATAAAAGAATAATAAGCAGATTTAAATATGAAAAATTTGGCCTACTTATAATAACTTATATACTTTTCTACAAAAAAAATGTATATAATAATATATTCGTCCTATACTTAAGCACCCACAGAAATGTCGCATCTGTACATATTAATTTCATAATCTATATTCCATGACACGAGATGGCGTCTTAGGAATATTTTGTTTTATTATTAATCTATAATACCTTTTTTTATTGATTAAGTATCTTATTAACCGATGAAAAGTAATTCCTTGGTTTTTACTGGCCTTTCTTCACTTATTTGTGCAATATCTAAGTACACACGACGACATATTTTTACCAAGAGATTTTTTTTTAAATCAACACAACACGTGACAACTCTGCAAGCGCCTAGCGAGTGACTGATTACAGTGCGGTGTATGCACCGCAGTTAAGTGGAACAGAGTAGCTGAATGCAGTGTCACCTCTAGTACGTATTACATAATAGC